GGGGGGGGGGGTGACCCTGTATTGGACCCGCTCAAAGTGGAGGTGACCCTGTATCGAGCACCAGTACAATGTCCTACAGGTCCCATAGATTGTCAGGACATCCTGCATTAAACTGAAATTGATAGTGGGTTACAACCAGTTATTAAAAAAAAAACATTTTACCTTTGAAGAACTGTAAGCATATTTGTAAATATTCCCCAAATATAAAACTGAGATCAATGAACCTGTGCTTAAGAACTCAGTGGGGACAAAACAAAGTGACAGAGGAAGCACCTCCATTCTGGAAATCAGGCTGTACCCCATTTCCAGAGCTGGGGATCGCTGATCTAGGATAACTTTAAGTGGTTTAAAAGACTCAGTTGCTACCTAAGGTGAAAATCATTCTAGTACACAACTGAGCCATTAACCATTTAAGACTAAACCAAACAGACATATAGTAACTGTTTTATATAAATAGTTGTAAATTAAATCTGTCAGCAGTATTTAAAAAATAGCTGTACCCCATTTCTCTTGCATCAAAACATTAATGTCATGTCGTAGGTTTCTGTGGTTAGAAATAACTACTGGCCAGAGTGGGAGGGTTTGAGTTCATTCCACCCTGCGCTCAAGGATGAACTACTGCTGCTGAGTTCCAGGATATTTTAAATGATATTTTTGGTTGTTTCAGGGCTGCGCATTTTGAAGAACTGGTCCTAGAAAGGTTGTGGCACTGCTACAAATGTAGCTTTGTTTGTTGCTCCTAAGCCTGTGCCAGGTCCTAGTGAGTTTGTCTCCTGTTAATGCAGCCTGGGAATAATGGCCTTTGTTTTCGCAGCCTTGCCCAGTCAGAAGCGCTCAGCTGGTCTTTGAAGGTGCGAGACCTCATCTCCTGCACCCCGAGGTGCACTTCTGAGATGTCAAATTAATTTGCATTCCAGATTTGTCGGGCTGATTTCTTGATACTGCTGGTATACTGAGCAAAAGCCCCGTCTTGTTCAAGTTCCAGCTTGCCTGAATGCAACTTCCTGGGGTAACCTAAAACTAGAATCAGGTGAGCTGGATTTCTGACCTTGTGGATTCAGTCTCTAAGAGGAGCGAAATTTAACCCCTTCCAGTCAGTGACACAGGATGAGCACAGAAGATTGTGGTTTTGGGGCTGTCACCTCCTATCTGATTTGGGTGGATGGAGTTTTGGAAATAAGAATATATTGTTGTAAAGATGTATTATTTAGAAGAAAAAGGACATCTTTCCCCGAGTTTGACCCTGCAATGTCAGACCGCTTTATAGCAGTGCAATTATGTGTAAAGAGAAACAGTTAAAAATAGCTTTCACATGTCACACTGGACCAATTGCTACACGTCCCATGAGCAATAATAGAAGACGCCATCTGAGTCATGTTATGTTCTTGTTTCACTTTCCCGACTGAATTATTTCAGTCAGATGAATAATATCGTCCTTGTAGGCAGAAAATCCCATTGCTTGACTAATTGTGGCTTTCCTGTATATCAGTTTACGATCATCACCATGTTCTCATTTAATAGAATTAGCAGCTTGTCACTCTGTCAAGGTTTGTACACATTGGCTAAAAAACGAGAGGCTGGGATTTAGTATTTTTAGGAGACTTGGGTCTGAGATGAATGTGGAAAGTTTTCTTAGGCTTACTTGTATTGTATATTCAGATATTAGTAGATCATTTCCAAGAACTGCAGCTAAGATTTGGTTTTGGAAGAAGGGAGATCACAAGATCCTTATGAACAATTTCATCATTCCTTTAAAAAAATAGCCTGGAACAAAATCTACAGCATTGACCTCCCTAAAAATGATGCTGCCATCTTATCCTTACACCTCTGGAAAATAACTGTTAATGCATTTTATTCTTCCTGTGACCTTTGCAGACAGAAGCAGGAAACTGTGGACTAGTAGTGTACACTATCTGGCCTTTTTTTTCCCCCCAGAAATTGAGTCTGTCGTGTTCAGGGATGGAGGCAGGTTTACGCCCTGCATTCTGTGTTTATTTTGAAGTAATGTGAAGGAAGCAGTAGACCTCCTTTTCAAGGCTATATATGTACAGTTGCAACTTTGTGTGATACCAGCTTAGCAGAACAAATTCATGGCTCTCAGGGCGTAAGGTGTTATCATTATTGACCCTAATTATTTAATGATTAATTTATCTGGCTGACGCTTTTATCCACAGCTGTTCCCTTTTGTTGATATGCCCCCCTGGGTTTCGACAGGAGCCATCTGAGTGGAGTGCCTTGCTTGGGCCCCACAGCAGCTCGAGATTCGAACCCATAGCCACCCAGTTAGCGGTGCGAACCCCACAAACACGGGCACGTGCGTCGCTGGGAAAACAGCAGGACTGTAGTGCCTGATAAACGGGTTTATAGCAGTCAAGGTGCACTTCGGGCTTGAGGGTTGCGTTGGAATTGAGGTCTTCCTTAGTTAATTGAACTATGACCCGAGGGAAAGCCGGATTAATCCTTCCCGGAGATGGAGAAGCCCCTGTGTTGCGTCCGGCCGCTGAGCTGCTTCCCCACTCTTTCCGCAGGAAGTTCTGGGAGAAGTTCATCACGATCTGCCACGAGAACAGCAGCCTGCACGGCATCACCCTGGAGCAGATCAAGGCCCAGCTGGAGGCGCTGGAGCTGAAGAAGACCTACGTGCTCAACCCTCTCGCGCCCGAGTTCGTTCCCCGCGCGCTGCGGGCCCAGCACCCCGCCGGCTCCGGAAAGCAGCAGCAGTCGCCACCCAAGGTAAAAACAAACACCTCCTGTCCGAGCTGGGCTCTTTCACACAGCACCCATCCCCCTGCATCATAACATCCCTACAGCTCCATTCGACGTGTGCTGTGCGTTTCTGTGTGCGGTATGTATGCACGTACGTTTTCAACTGCATCTGCGTCTTTGTGTAGGTCCGCACAAAACAAGTCTGTTTACTGTGTATGTGTGTGTGCCTGTGTATAATGAGAGAGAATTTCATTTGTTTTCCATGCACAGTGGTGTACGCAGGTTAGTGTCCCCCCAAGCGCTTCTTGAAGGTGAAATTAGGTGTGATGGAGTAATTGACACCAGCTCTAAGGATACGCTTGCCACTGTGCGCGTTGATGAAGCCCCCAGTGCCGGAGTCTTCCACTCGGCCCCCGCACAGAGCTTAGGGGGAGAGGGTGGAAGATGTTGGAGAGCTGGAGCACTGCGCCGAACGGATGAGTCACACAGGAAGCATCCAGCTGTCCCTCTGAGTTTATTCTCCCGATCGCCTGCCTCTGCAGCCGGCACACACGAGAGTGCCTGGAAGGACAGCAGGACAGGAGCTGCTCCGAGTCCTCGCTGCTGTGAATTAAAAGAGACGAGAGTGCGAGCACATTCCAGCATTTTACCTGCAGATGCAAATCTGTGTGGTGTTTTTTTTTTCCCCCTCCTCCTGCTGTCCTGAGCGTTGTAGCTCTGTTGGCCTTGCTTTCCCAAGCGATCTGCGTGGTTACGCAAGAGGGGTTAGCAGCTGTTGTCAAGGATTCAGCTCTCTGATAAACGGGTGCTCCCAGAGTTTTTAATGTCACTGCCTGACGTTAATGACTAAAATAAACCCCTGTGCAGAGCTCTGAGAGGTACACCTGGAGGCCCCCTCTGCCTGCCAGCGCCAGCAGCATCCCAGCTGTCCTTCCGCTGAGCGGCTATGTGCAGTCCTGGGACTACAGTCTGCAGGACAAGGGCTTCAGAGGAAATTGTGTGAGCTAGGGGACTTTTAAGACAGAGAAAACAAGACCGTTAAGAAAAGAACTGCTCTAATTGAGACAAGGTGAACTTCATTATACGGAACGTCTGAATTGTCACCCTGAAAACCCGTGCCGGATATGGGCCTTTGGCTTCAGCTGTCCAGTGCTGGGTTGGACCCACAGCAGCTCGCTGGGGGAACAGTGGTGGGGGCACTGCTGGCCACCTGGGAGGGCGTCCTGTTTCTCAGGCTCATCTGCGTTTTGCTGGGGGGCTGGGCGTCGGGCCTCACGGTTCTCCGCTTCCTGCGTTGTGGACGTCTTGCTGCTGAGGTTTCCGTCACTTCTGGAGGTCTTTGCATCTTAAAACGCCTTCTTACACCACCCAGGTGTCAGTGCAGTTTCCTGCACAGGGTGTTTTTCCAAAACCTGCAATTGCAGCATCGTGTGATGTTGGCAACACTGTTTTATCCCCTCTCCCGTGATGCAGGAGGTGCAACGCGGGGTGGAAACTATATACTGTATGTATGTGAATTAAGGAACAAACCCTAGGCATTCGTGTTTTGATACGAGCACAGTCATGGACCAGAGCATGCACAAACCAATTTAGGCTGTTTGTAATAAGCATCATCAATTCTCTCCTTGAGCTGCCTGTTAGTCATAACAGTCCTCTTGTGTTCGTACCGGCGGCGCTGAGACGGGTCCCCAGGAGTGCTGGCCCCGCGACGTGTCCAGCGCATCTGGAGGTTGATGATGTCATATCAGCCCCGACGCTGAAGAGACCACACGGGTCAATGCAGCCTGGTGTATTTTTTTTTTAATACCTTGCACTAAAAACAGGTCCCTTAAAATGTGTCTGTTTTCGTGCTTGTATTTGGCAGGATATAGGATTTTCTGTACATGTCCCCTGCGTTTCTTGCTGTGACTATTACACCCAATGTCATGGAGCGCTCGTGCCATGTCTTCTGGGGGCTTAGAAGAAATGAGCTTCTCATGCATGTCTCTCTAAGCGACCAAGTGCCTGCGCTGCTTCTCTGTAGGTAATCCACGGATATTAACCTGGACCTTTCACAGCTCTCCTGTGCTGCTTGTTCTATGGAGATTCTCGACAGGCTGCAGGAAAGCGTCAGGCCGTCTTTCTTTGCAACTTGGACGCGAGACCTTTTGCTGCGCGATGAGCTTTAGAAAGTGGGGCTTGTGTTCCGGCAGCACTGCTGGGTTAAAAATACAGGTTTATAGGAAAACACAAGCTCAGTATCTCTCTCTGCCTGGCCCAGTTACCCACACTGGGCTCCCTGGTAGATCGCGTTTTCCTTCATGTTTTTCTACTAGTTTTATTTCTTCATGCATTTTCCATTTAGTTTCTTTGTATTTTATTTTTTTAATAAATGGCCGTGGTGCTCAGTTAGTTTCAGCAGGATTTTTCCATTTTTAAATGACCACTTTCTAATGAACTTAGATCTGCTGCAAAATTGCACCGATTTCACCAATAACAGTTAATCGAAGTACCGGAGAGTTGTGGTCAGATGAGAACTTTTGTCCCTCCCATGAAAGAACAATACAGCGCCGAACACAATTATAGTTCGTATTATTTTGTATTATTTTAATACTTTGTATTATTTTAACCACTCAGTCACCGGAGGCGAGTTCATGCTGCATTAAGCCTACCTCTGCCTCCGTGGGAGTGTTATTTGCAGTGTTCAAGGTGTCCTGTGGGGCTGTGATGGCTGATCATACTCGTGGTCAAATGGCCGGCGTGCACATGATCCGACGGCTCGTCCCAAGTGCTGGTCTGTTTGATTTCCACGCCGGCGCGTCTGCAGCGTGGGAGTGCTTCGGTCACGCCAGCCCTCATTAACACAGCCGCGCCGGCCGCTCGTGTGGAGCTGTATTCGTCAAGACAAGGGTGGAAAGCGATTATGGTGAAAAACGAGCCTTATTTCCGGTCGAGGCATTTTAATTGACACGGGGAAAGGAAACATTTTGTCCCCTCTTTGTTATTCACTGCCTTAATAAAAATTGAGGCTGATTTCCCCATCACGTAGTGAAAGAATGTATCCAAACCAACAAGTGTGTTGCTTTTTGGTCCAGCTAATTGTTTTTGCTCTTGGTTTCTCAGCTTATTATTTAAAACATGATTGTTAGTTACCACAGTGTTGTCTATGAAACAAGCTCTAGCAACAGTGACTCTAATTTTCTTATTTCCACTTGTTTTATTCCTGTATCTGGAGTCATTTTGAGCTCAGGCCTTGTGGGTTTTTTTTTCCTGTGGGAATTCTTGACCTTCTTGAACTGAGCAAGGGCCGAAGATCCTGTACGGGCAGAGACCTTTGAGTTTTGAGCCGAGTGAGTCCAAGCAGGTACACTTCAACTTGTGCATTCTGTTGTGAAAACCCATTGATGCGTTGATGTAGTACGCGTGAGTGCAGGTGTATCGGCTGAAGTGGACACTGGTTCTTTCGTCACAAGTCTTGATACTTTGTATTTGTTAGTAAGCACTTGTATTGAGACAAGACAGTGATGCTGTGTGGAGATGTCCTCCTCAAGATGACTGTATGTGCTTATTTCTCGCTGTACTATGTGTTAACACGTTGGATAACACAGTTAGTTCTTCTGTTTGCACTAGTTCAGCCTTGTTTCCTGAAGCTGCATGGGGGGGAAGGGGTGAAGAAGAAGAGGTTCGGCTCGCTCTTTTCCAGGGAGCACTTGATGGGATTGGGGAGGGAGTAGCGTACCGGGAGAGCTACATCTCAGGAGGGCTGGCCGGGGAGCAGTGGTGTCGGTTGGCAGGAGCCCCGCCTCGCCCACCTGAGTGCAGAACCCGCGTGAGAACCGCGGAACGGGTGCTGACGGCCCCTGGAGACCACTCCCCTCGCCCACTCAGGACGGCGGGCTGTGGCAGAGGGAGATGTGCGATTCCGGGCAGGCGACAGGGACGGGGCACCTGGCCGACGCGGACACTCTGGCAGGAAGAGGCACCGGAAAGGACCGCCGCCTTTCGAATTGAGCCGGGCTTTAAAATGGACTTTTTAGAAGTTAAATAGATGGGCCTGTTCCGTCCACGCAAGCTAACGGCTTTTTAAAACGTCCTTCTTGAAATTGTGACATGTCTTGAAACAAATTCACCATGTTGCAGTGAGGTATTCGCATTGTATTCATATATGTTCGAAAGGAATTCAAAATCATAAATCATTGTCCCTTCTCTTCGAATATGTCCCAGGCGGCTGTTGGTTTAAAAGAGATTAAACCACTCACTTCCATTATTTGACGGCTAAACTTGTTTCCTAGCCCGAAAACCCAAAACATCACGAAAGGTGCATCTTTTTTAGCAGCTCACTGTTGCTCTGCTCCGTGTTAAAGGAAATGATTTAATTCTTCAAACTGGCATGGCGCTGTCTGACATCTTTAATATTACAGCAGCAGGGAGAGACCTTGCTGCTGTCACTAGTTAATGGCTTTTCAGCAGATGCTGCAGGCATTGTTGTAAAAGGGCTCTCTATTTGCATGTTTCTGAGAATTGTATGGTAATTAAGCTATTTACAACATTCATTTAAAGAAAGGAACAATCACAATATGTAAATTGAGCCTTCAGAAATGACATATTGAACACTGCTGTAAGTCATAATAATCTTGTATATTAAATGAATTGTTTAATCTCTCCCCAGGTAGGTTTGTAAATAAGGATCTGGTGTTTTTCTTCTTCCTCTGTTTCTTTTCCCCCAAAAAACACCCGACAGGTTGTGTACGACCTGAATTGTAAGTGGCCGCTTTGTTTTGCTGGAAGCGGTTTTTAAGAAAGCTCCACTGGGCAGCAGGAAATGCCCTGTGAGAGTCCCAGCTGTTTTTTAGCAGGGTTTGCCGAAACAGTTTCCATTTCTCTGTAGGAAATTGTCAATTTTGTTGATGTCATTGATGTGATTGACACCGGGCCCAAAGTTGTATTTATGCTTCACTTATTGCGTGTTGGTAAATGCACATGACTGCTTCACAGGAATGAAAACTTTTCTGTTTCGCCTTCTCCCTGTAGGGCAAAGGGCAGCATCAGAACCAGGCTGAGCATTTTCAAGCAGATGGTTTTGGTAAGTTCTTTTTATAGCCCTCGTGTTGACGACCTACGTGGTTTGGAGTTCATCGCCATCTTGTTACTGTGATGACTGAAAACCATTTCAAATAGTTTTTTGTTTCTCTTGAAGAGGGTGAAGAGGAGGTAAAAGGGTGGTGTGTGGAGATGTTGGTCATCGTTATTGCTCAACTGCAGCCCTGCAGGTGTGGCAGTGTTGCTCTTAGCTGCACCCCTCATGCTTGGGTGATACACATTTCTCTTTTTTATGGTGTGCAGCAGGGTGACAGTGCAGAGATTTTAAAAATAGCCAGTTGGCATCCCCATGGAGAGGCCTTGGGTACCCATATGTTTTCCCCGTACAGCGTTCAATGCATAGACACAAAATACAGCTTAATGAGATGCTTTTCGGGTGTTTTTCAGGAAAGTCACTAGTAGCCAGAAGCACGATTTTTGTTGTGCTGAAAGAAAATACTTTGTTGAAGTCTGATGCTTTGAGTTTCCAGTTATATATAACTTTGCACCATCAAGGAATCTCTGAAAGCAACAGCCCTGTTGTCTCAGAAGGTTTCTTAGTAGCTTTGTGCCTGATACCTGTCCATTCCAACCAGTGTGAGAAGCTCTGTAATAGAATAGTACACATAGTAATTATCTCCTAGTGTTTCCTGGAAGTTTCAGTTGTGGTGCCCTGGTAAATCACGTGAACACTTTAAAAGAGATCTGCATGGAAACCCTGAGGCTGGACTGCAGGCGTAATACACATTAGCAAACGCTTTCTATCACAACAGGCTGCAGTGTAGTACAGCTGTGCTCTGTTTAACTTGAATTATTAGCGGTTAGTACCTCTGAGTACTCCTTTTAGGATGGCTCCTGATGTCTGGAAAATGTGCTGTCCTTTCAGTCCAGTCAGCAACGGTCATCCTCTGTAATCGCAAAACCACCTGGGTCTCTCTCACCTGTTCTCGCACGTGTGATGTGATGCTCACCCTGCGCGGAAAGCCTTATTGTCGATGACACAAGCCTGCTCTGTATCTGACAATGCCATGTGTCAGTGTGCCTTGGCGCCACCACTCTGGTCCTGTGCTCGGTGGTGACACAGCTCTGCATCGCAGGGAGGGCAAATCTTCTTGCGAAATGTCAGCCTGGCGCCTTGCTCGTCCTCTGCATTTCACAGACATCACTGAGGGCCCACTTCCCTTTAGATACAAATCCGTGTTAGCAAAAGCTCAGAGCTGCGATTCAGCCTTCTGGGACCTGCTCTGCAAAGCTTAATTTTCTCATCATCTGAAGATTAATGAGGCCACTGCAGCTTTATTTGATTTGAATCAATAGAGGCTTTCACCGTGGGTAAGGAATGCAAGGAAGGCGTCTCATTTACTTAAATGTAATTTGGAGAAAATGAAATTTTTCAGAATATTAATATGGTCGGAAACAATGTGCATTTTCTTTATCACTGAGCTCGCCGGTCGCTCAGCCTGAGCACTAGGAAATAAGGCGTTTTACCCCTGGTTATGCAACTGATCGCACGTTCAAGGGTGAGCAAATTTAATAAATACCCGGGAAACGGCTGTAAAGTCGTTTTTGCTTCCTTCGTGTGGCGGCGTTGTTCACAGCAGTGTTCAGTCCACTCCACTGATAGCGAGCGCCTGCTGAGCACCGTCATGTGGGTTTCAGAAGGGAGAGCATGATTGGTTAATTGAAGCTCTGGGCTTTGCTAAAGGTTATTTAAAAAAGCTTTCCAAACTAGGTCACCCCGTCCCACTGGTTCCCCCTCCTTTGTAAATGGTGTAAATGGCTCGGGACGCGAGCGAAGGGGACCCCCGCGTCGTGCTTCCTGCCGGGGAGCAGGGGCTGCGCCGGGCCCCTCCTGGTGGCCTGACGGCTCGTGTCGCTGTCTGTTCCCACCCCAGTGCAGCCCAGCCCCGCGGTGCTGATGGGGAACCCGATCCGCGCCTTCACGCCTCCCCTGGGGGCCAGCGCCGCCATGGGGAAGTCTCCCAGCCCGGTCCAGCGGATCGATCCCCACACCGGGACCAGCATCCTGTACGTGCCCGCGGTCTACGGAGGCAACATGGTCATGTCCGTGCCTTTGCCTGTAAGTACCCGGGTCCCGTTTTAGCATGTTTGGAAGTCCCGTTTGTCTTTTGTCCTTTGTTTTTTTTTTCCCCGCAGGGATTTACTCGTTGTTTGTCATACACCCCCCTCCGCCTCCCGCCCCGCCCCCCACGCAGAGTCGGCTCTTCGTTTCCGTCCTCCAGGTGGCGCCGTGTCTACCACCGTGCCCTGTTAGCAGCAGCCTTTGCTCTGCGAGAGCTCCAGAGCACACAGCAGGGCTGGGGCTGGAGCGGAGGAGCAGCGCAGCTCTCTGCCAACAAAGCAACCTCCCAGGCAGCCCTGCAACCAGATGCAGAGGTTGCTGCGGCATGCCTGCCCGAGGAGGGGACCTGGGCCAGCTGCAGCTGTCGCTCCGCCGCGCCAGGCAGCCCAGCCCGCACCCCAGACCAGCAGAACTTCTCCAGTTACGATCCTGTCTGGAGCTTGCTCATTTTTTCCTCAGTCATTCCGTTAGATCGGTGTTATTGAGCTTTTTTTGTGCATTTTAAGGGAGACAGAATCCTCTTGGTCCTCTGGTCTCTGCTTGTCCAGCTTGAAGTCGCCGTGCCTCCTGGTCTGCAGATCAGCATGTTCTCATGGTGTCTGGTGTCCCCCGACATGAGCTGTAGTGTCTCGCCTGCGCTGTATTTGACTGGATGGCCGGGAAACACTTTTCAGGAGCAATGACTGGCAAGGACTAGTAGTTCATACAGTGTGGGTCATCCTCTGAAATCGTAGCTGCTGTAATACGCGTCCGGTGTGATTGTTCAACATTACTGCAGGTGCTGCTGTGGCGTATCGCTGTCACCAAGGAGAAGCATTGTGATAATTCTGCTTAATGTTCAAGTACGTCCTCGCACCCTCGAGGTGAGGAATGAAATGAGGCCGATTCGTTGCATCTCGGCAGGAATTAACAGAAGGCAGGTCTTTCATTAGTAATGAGCAGCGAAGTGCCTTCGCTCCTGTTCTTCAGTCCTTGCTGTCGCTTTATGAAACCGTTGCTTTGCAGTCACATGTTTTGTCATTTCGCGGGACATGTTACAGCCGTGGTGCACTTACTGCAAAACACCTTAACATGTTGAGAGAGGAAAAACTCCGCTGTCACTGTTTTAGTGGAGGAATAAAAGTTTTATTTCTAATTGTAAATCTTTGAATTTTTGTTTTACTTTACATCTTTATTTTTTGTGTTTTGGTCACATTAGGCTGTAGTTAACATCACTTTCCTTTGTATTTACATACATCCAGTCCCTGACCCTGAGGTTTTCTGCCTTTCCTTGTGATCGAGTTGAGGCATGTTTATCACTAATGCTGCGTGGACTTTTATTTTGAGTCATATCACAGAGGTCACCTTTATATGGTTAGATAAAATATGCTTCAAAAAGAGCGCTTTTACCACAATCAAGTGTCTAAGGCTGCTAGGCAGGTCTTAACTGGGACGTCTTTGTCATTTTCACACCTGCGGTTGCACTTGGGTAGAGCAGATATTATCTGAATCAAAGATTTGTTCGGTCCAGGATGAAAAGCAGTTGGTTCTTGCCTTCATTGTGTTTACAGTTGAAGTTTGCAATCGTTCAGTTGTTTTGAGGATTCAGTTAACAGCAGGTGCCAAAGTTGAAATGTTTTATCAGTTTATTCCTAAATCAGTGGCCATCTGCATCATGGCATGAGAGATTTGCCCTTTACGGTGTATTTAGGGAAAATAAAACTGCATCACAAATGCAGTGCTGCTTAATGCTTTTCCTGCTGCAGTTTGTAAGTGGCAAGAACCATGAGTTCAAGCCATTTTTTGGAGATGCAGGCCTGATGCAACTAAAATTCCATTTGTCACTTACTGGAAATTTCATAGAATATCGCTGAAGCTCAATGAGGGTCTGTCCTGCCAAGATGGAGAATTTTAAATGCATGTAGTAAAAGTGCTCTTTCGAAGCAACATGAAAATTACCGAAAGCAATAAAAAAGCACCTTTGTTTCTCGTCGCGGGTGTTAAGATTCTAATAATTAAAAATTAATAACAGCAGGTGTTGTGAAATAAATTGCTTTTTTCCTTTAGACTTGTGAGTTTCACCTTAAACCTGTTTTTATTTGTGTCCTGTTCTGTTGCCAACCTGATGTTACTGTGAATTGTTTTGTCTTTGAATTCTCTTGGGATTCATGCTTAACAGTATTTGGCTTCAGACGCCACAAGACCAAGTTACAGCTGCCCCTTTGAAATCGGCTCAGTAGATCTGAACAGCAGCACCAAATATTAAACTATGCCATTGAGGTGTGAAGTAATCTGAATGATTTATGCTTCATCCTCAGTATCTTGGGATTTTCATTTGTGAGAAGACTGTGTATTAGCAATGCAGAAGGATTTTTGGAATGAATCATAGTGGATCCATTGGATTCTCATTTACTGGCAGAGCATAAGGATAGAGCTTAGTTATAGTCTCTTTAAGTTGGTTCTTTAAAGAAACCAGGGTACTGGTTTTGACGACATGGTTGGGCAGCTTGTTCAGACCCGTTATGTAAAAACATTCCTCTGGTGTGAAATGGTGTGAATTTACACTTGGCCCCTGGTTTGTGTTTCACTGCTCATTCTGATGAGGTCCACCTGGTTGCCTTTTCCTTTGAGGATTTTGATTCCTTGAGACATTAGAATTCCTTGAATTCTTTTACCCTGTCAATACAGGACATTCCAAGTCTAGAAATGTGCCTGTTGCTTCTCTTCGGAGTCCAGAGCAGAAGTATGTGTGTGGTGGTCAAGATGGCACACGATAATGGTGACATTTTTTTTTCCTTCTGCAAAATTGCAGCGCCTCTTCTGCAGAAGATCAAGGCTTTTTAAAATTCCCATTGTCAGTGTAGGTGCTGGTTCTGTCAGGGTTCATTCCCCAGAAGATGAGATTGGTTTGCTGTACTGGTGCTCATCTTCCTTCTCTTCATCTCTCCTCCCTGGTTCAGCTTCTCGCTCGTCTGAGGTTCTTTAGTGCTGTATGAGGTATTTGCCTGTAGATAAAATCCACATTCCCTCACGAGAGATTAGACCGATCTCGGAGCTGTGTTTGAACACAGAATTAAAAAAACAAAAGCATTAATCTTTAGAGGCAGCGTCTGATCTCACAGCGAAGATCTGAGAAGAACGTACTGCTCTGCAGTTTCTTTGCTGTGCTCTGTGAGACGATGTATTCTCCAGTCACCTTTTCTAACAATCTAGTTGTAAAAAATCACTGGCTTTTACAGAACCTTGCATCGGTTTGTGCACGATTTTAGAAATTATGCAAGGAACAAACTATAAGAAAGCCAAATCTTATGCTTTGGCATAAGAGTGCTGCGTACACTGTTGTGAAAAAATGTTCTTTTTCTGGTTTTGTACATTCAGGGTAAAAAACAGACAGTATTTTCATGTACAAGGCATGTTTAATTATTCTTCCTTGTAAATCACAAAAAGAATAACATTCATTCTTCTTTCACGGTGTCATGTTGTTAACTGGTGCCGTGATAAATATTCTGCTGACAAAATGAAGCTTTTTAGTTGTTTTTTTTTTTATCAGCTGCATAAATAAAAGATAAATAACTGAAAGTTTTGTTTGTGCCCCCTGCCTCTTGCCTCAGATTTGCCATTTATTGCTCTTATTAATTATGCTTATTTATATGCGAAATCGTATAACATCTTTCATAATCCCCTTTTCTGTTTTTTTTTTTATATTCCATTACCAAGCATCCTGCAATTAATCTTCCCTGGTTGCCTCATGCGGTTCACAGAAGGCCAAGGATGTGGTGTCCGTGTTCGTGTTCTAGAAAGAGGCTGGCTGGCTGGCTGGTCCAGCCGGGCTCCTGGCTCACTTGTGGCTCCACCACAGACTAAGCTGCGGGCTCTTATTGCTCTCTGTCCTCCGGAGAGGCAGGACTGAGGTTCTGTTATGAGGTCTAGTTGATTAGCTTGCTACCTTTCCCTCCATGTTGCTGGATTGTTAATTAAGTTGTTCCACGCTGTTTAAGTGTGTCTCCCCCCACCCCCCGCAGGTTCCCTGGCCAGGCTACCAAGGCCGGTTTGCAGTGGATCCCCGAATCATGAGTCACCAGGCCGCCATGGCCTACAACATGAACCTGCTGCAGGCGCACGGCCGGGGGTCCCCGATTCCCTATGGAACCAGTCTCCCCTCGCCCATCGGGCTCAACCCGCAGCCGGGCCAGGAGAAGGACCCGCAGGACCCCAGCCGGAACGGTGCTTGGCTTTCCCTACACTCCGCTCGTGTCACAGGGCTCTGAAGGCTATCCGTGTTAATCCCAGAGATCAGAAAATGTGGGACATCATTTGATGTCCTGGGGTCTCCTATGGGATAAAACAGCAGTGCTTCCTGTTCAAGGTGGTTCTGGACTTATTTGTAAAAGAAAATCCATTAAATTAAGCCATAGGCGGTGGTCATTGTTTTAATAAAACATTTTTAAAATGAATATTATATTTACATTTTTCAAATGTGTGCACATGTGTGTCTTCAGTACAAATACTGTCAGAGCTGTCAGATGTGTCAGTTTACCTTCAAACTTGTTTCCAGCTTTGTCCCGTGACAGTGCTCTCTTCAATTTATTGTTTGTTACAGAGGGGCATTATAGGCAAAAGAAGGAGTGAAGTGTCTTTATAATTGCCCTTCTGCTGGATGTCCATATCCATTTACAAGAAGCTGGTGTGCTGATAGGACATGTAGATTTCCACTAATTGTTTGATTGTTTGCAGGGAAAATAGATGCAAATCCAAAACTAGAACCGAGCAGACTTCAGACCCCGGAAAGAAAACTACCTGAATCAAAAGAAAAGCAGGTGCGTATTTTACATAATTTTTTATTTTAATTTGGCGTAGCGGTAAAGTGATTTAACGAATCGTGACGCCTCTTTTAACTCATTCCATGGGGCTGTAGCCTTAGGTCACGTGGTGTTCAGATTGCGAATCGAGTCGAGCAGTAACTTCCACCGAGAAGGCACTCGATCAGCATTGGTAGAAAACGTTTTCACAAGAGAACAATTACAAGCGAACGGCCTCTCTCTCCCAGCTCGTCTGGTTGGTAGTATCAAAGGGATCCAGACTTGCTGGGCCAAAACAAGGGCAGTAAGGGGAGATGGGAAGTTCTTTTTGCCTTTGGATATCAGATTGTTCTTCCTTTCCCCAGGGAGACTTGGATACAGGACAGAGCCGGAGTCCGGAGTCCCAGGGCCCGCTGGGGTTCCCCAACGCCAGGCTCCACCGGAAAGACAATCCCGGCCAGAGGCAGCTCGGCTTTCACCTGGCGCCCCCAAACCCTGGCTTCCCTCCCCACCCCAGCAGCCGCCAGTTCCCTCACCAGTACCCCCTGCCTCGCCCCCCTTTCCGGCTGCAGCAGCAGCAGAACAGCTTGCCTCCTCAGCACCCCAGCCAGATGCATCAGCACTCGTCCCAGCTGTCCCCGGTCTTCCCCGCTGGGCATGCCCCCTCGTTCTTCAACACCCCTCTGCCTCACAGGGGCCTGCAGTCCCCCAGCCTGGAGTCCATGGCCGCTGAGCCGCCTGTCCCCGGTCTGATGCCAGAGGAGATGAATAATTCCCTTCGGCCAGTTCCTCAGCTCAACCCCCCCAGTCACCCGCCGCCGCCCCCCCAGCCCAGCCGGCTTGGCAGCTTCCCGGATGAAAACTCGGAGCCCATGCTGGAAGGACTCGGTATGTGGGCATGAGCCAATCGTGTGTTTTATCTTGGGCAGTGGGCTGTGATTTTATCACATCACCTTCAGGAGCGATATTCATTGAGTAGAGATCGGCGGTTTTTACTCTGCATCAACAGTTTTTCTCTTCTCAGTACTTCTGTGTGCCATTGTAGAACATATGAGTTATTACTGGAGTAGATCAGATGTCTGCTCGCTACAGGAGGTACAGCTCGGGTCCAGTGTTTAGGTCTCTTGAATGCAGCTGCACGCCTGTACAGTTGGGAGATGTTTAGTAAAGTGGCTCAGTCAAGGCTGTAGTGATCTTGTTTGGGCTTTTAAGAGCCTTTTTGAAAGGAAAACAAAGATGCCAGCACTCAAGGACGGGAGTTGGTGCGCCCTGTGGGAACCGCTCCGAGATCCGGTCGTGAAGAGTTTCGCACAGCGAGTGCCGATTGGCTCGGTTTCTCCTCGCCGCTCGGTGCAGACTGACCAGCTCCCCTCTGTTCCCTCCGCACAGACGTCCCAGGCGCCTCGGCCCTGGAAGCGCTGAGCCAGCAGGCCCGGCTGAGCCAGTGGAACGAGCACAGCCACTTCCTGCCGGGGGGCGTGGCCTTCCCCCTGGCGCACCTGGCCCAGCCTGCCCTGCGCTTCCCCGCACAGCTGCTGCGCGCCAACTGGAGGCTGGGCGCCGGCGCCGAGGAGGACACGGGGCCGGCTTTCCAAAGGTTGGTGATGTGCATTCCAGCTTACTCATATTGCAGCCGGCGTTGGCTACAGGCATTGCGCCTGATGCTGTGTTCAGATTGGAATGGTGGCGCAGTGCTTAGCATTGCTGCCTCGCAGTGTTGGGGTCCTGGGTTCAAATCCCAGGGTGCTGTCTGCATGGAGTTTGCATGTTCTCCTCAGGTTTGCGTGGGTTTCCTCCCACAGTCCAAAGACCTACTGCTAGGTGAATTGGTTTCTGGGATAATAGGCCTAATAGGGTTTAATAGGGATAATAGGATAATAGGGTTTCTGGGATAATGTCTGCCCTGAGATGGGCTGGCGCCCTGTCCAGGGTGTATCCTGCTTTGTGCCCGATGCTTGCCGGGATAGGCTCCCGCTCCCCACGACCCCGGGATGGAAGAAGCTGATAGTAACTGGGTGGATGGAAGTGTTTGATGTTCTGCTGGGGGCGGACAGACTAGTAAAGGCGGTGTTTTGAAGAAAGGCTCTGCTTCTCATTGCTCACGGCCGACGCGATTCGCTTTTAGGTTCCCTGGCCTCCTGAGGGAGATGGCACCCCAGGACCAGGGCGAGCAGCGGGACCCGGCCGAGATGATGCCCCCCCCGCAGTCGCGCCTGCTGCAGTACCGGCAGGTCCAGCCCTGCAGCCCCAGGGGGCTCCCCTCGCCCACCGCCACCGCCGGCCACAGCGGCCCCTTCCCCGCGCCCTTCGGGGACGTCAGCCGCGAGCTGGAGATGATCAACAGCCAGGCCTTCCAGCAGCAGCCCCAGGCGCCGATGTACAACCCCGCTTTCCCCCTGCCCGCGGGCCGCACCACCCCGCCGCCCGTGAAGTACCTTCTGCCCGAGGCCCAGTGGACTCACCCCGGCCTGCCGCCCAGCCACGTGCTGGGGCAGGGCTTCCACTTCGGCGTGCCGCCGGCCCTGGCCCACAGACAGGAGCAGGTGCACCTCCTGCAGCTGCAGCAGCAGCAACAGCAACAGCAACAGCAACAGCAGCAGCACTCCGCCCCCAGCCAAGAGCCCTTTGACCCCCTCTCTCCACGAACAGTGTCCGCTGCCTCCCTTCACAATGTAGAAGAGGTAAGACGGGGGGTGTCCTGGGTGTGCGTGCTCGTGCGTGCTCGTGCGTGCTCGTGCGTGCTCGTGCGTGCTCGTGCGTGCTCGTGCGAGGGAGTGCGAGGGAGTGCGAGGGAGTGCGAGGGAGTGCGAGGGAGTGCGAGGGAGTGCGAGGGAGTGCGAGGGAGTGCGAGTGGGTTGGAGGGCTTGCCTGCCGCTCCCCCAGCTTCAGCTGTCTGCGCGTTTGCGCGTCCTGGTGAACACGCATGTCGGGCTTCCTACTCCCTGCAAGAATGCTAGGACCCAGATTCAGGCACCAGGGGGTGTGAGAGGCGCGGGTCTTGAGTAGGTGTGGACTGCGGTGCCGAGGGGCTGGGGGCGACTGTTGTACAGGCACCTTGCGACACCACCACTTCTGTATTTCCTAGGACTGAGCTGATGGGTGTCTCATTGTATTCGGCTGCCTTTTCATTTCAGTTCCTCTGTCTGTCCTGCTTTCGGTTGTTATTTTTTTAAGCGGAGCTCCACTTCTGTTCTCCTCTGCCTTTCACAGCTGGATTTTAAGTAGGATTGGAACCACAGTCTGCTTTACTTCATATTCTGCCTGGGAGAAAAACAATGATTAAAATGCCACAAAAAATAGACTGGCATTCTTCCAAGGTGTTCTTTGTAGATTTGTTCACGGATGGAGATTTGTTCACTGATGTTTTGGTTTTTTTCTTAAAAGCCATACATCATTTAAAAAAAAGAACAACTTCCTAAAAGCTTCAGAGTTAATCTTTTCACCTGTCTGGTACCGTCGCTGGAATCTAAAATTGGCCCCAAGGGGCTTTAATTGCTGTGCAGTGCTCTGCCTGTATTGTTGGGGAGGGAAATAGGTTAAAAGTGAACAGACATCTTACTTCATGATTAAAAAACGGTTCGTTCCTTCGCTCCAGGCTTCTGGGCCAGGGAGCGTGACGAACCATCTGTTGTCTTAGACGGTGATAACAGTGTGTTAGAGTGTTAGGTGTTTTTTCTGGGGGGCTTTGAGACACCTGAGAAGGCAGCGTGGAGGAGTGCGGAGGGCACAGGTCCCTGAGGTGTCCTGGTGATCCGAGCGGTGCTCCGCGGACTGTTTTGACAAGGGAAGGGAGACGTGTAAAGTGTGAAGCTGTGTGAATGTAACAGTTTGGTAGAAAGGGGGAAAATGAACCCTGGAGAGGTGGCGATTTAAATGTCATGAGTAACTGACAGCTATGCGGCAGAATTCGGCAGTCGTGTGTGTTATGAATACGCAAAAACTCTTCCACCCAGCTGTAGAAACAAGGCAAGAACTTGCTCTGTTCAGCCCTAAATTTCACTCTTAATTTGTTTCTATTTGGTCTACCCTCCCAGTGCTTTGCATTTCCGTCTGAGCTGATGGGGAGCCGTTTTGTACCTTTTCCCTTTTTTTTTTGGTCCGTTCCTTATCGCTTCCTGTTACTAAACTATCCCAAAAAAGTGTGTTCTGATTTATGTTCAGAGTAATTCTAAGGTTCTCCAGAAGAGATACCTGATACTGCTCTCCTTATTTAGCTATGCAGTAACTCGAAGGGATAATCCCAGAATGTTTCCCTGGGTGTGACGCCCAGTCTTCGCAGCTGTCGGCCATGCGGCTGTTCCTTCTTGCGGAGGGCAGAAGTCGGATGTCTTGGGCTGGGCAGAATGTGGAGAATCTCCTTGCCCAGCCCTCTGTGGGCTGTGCTGCAGATCCATTCTCGTGCAGTCCGTTCGGGAAGGGCATTGAGTCACACGTCATTTACTCAGGATGAAGTTGCTCAGGTCGATGCTGTTGGGGAAATTCCCGCATGAGCATGAGCAAATTTTAACTTTTTGTTCCAGCTATAAGTTGGATTTGTAGACAGATTGGTACCAATAACCAGCCTGTCTTAGAGTAATATTGTGAGACATGTTGGACCTCACATTTATGCAGATGTAGCACATATCCGACTTCCTGGGACTTCCTTCTCTAGTTAACAGGAACTCCTGCCAAATGGCTAATGTCTCTCTCTACATGTGGGTGTGGTTTTCTCCTAAGCTGTTCAGTATTTATAGCCATGAAGTAAATATCGTATGAAATTGTTGATTCCAAACTGGAGCATATACAGTATATTAAAATAACATTGAAGATAACCCTTTAGGTCTGTACAGTTGATAGAGATGTAAACTTAAGACCGTGACAACAGTAACTCTTCAGTGTGTAAATATCAGAGAGCCTGTTTTGTTTCTGTAGAGATGCAGATCTAGACCTTCAGAGAAGAATCATCATAATTTTGTTCTTACTTTGGCCAGTTTTCTACCTGTACAAGTCTGTTTCATTACCCTGGTGCCCATTTCAGATGTCACTCACAGGTAAAGAACAGCTGTGCACGTTACAAACATTGTTCAGGCTTCTCTCAGCCTGCTGTGGTGCTCAGAAAGGATAAATTGTTAGTTAGCAGCTCAGTGGGACTAAATTAATAATACATGAGCTTCAAATCCCTCTAAAGCAGAACTGTTATCTGCTGCAAATGCAGGAGCTGATAACACTGAATTGTAAAATCTTTTCAGACAGCGCTTTGCAATTTGTGAACATCTTCCTTTCGCCATGAGTCACTGGCTCAAGACAACACTTGGAAGTGCAGTGCAGGAAGATGGGAAAATTGATCCATGAACGTTTTCTGTAGGGATGCTCTCTGTGTTTTTACTGTGCATTTGTCTGATTTTGTGTTGGCTTGTGGTGAAATAAACACTTTTTTGTAGCTTGAAGATGGTGGAATTATAGTGGCCTTAAAGTGGCCAAATTGTGCAAATTCTGGTCATCAGGTTTACAAAGAAGGACATTTTGGGTGATATCTGTATTGCCTTCTGGTAGAAGACTGGTGAGACACAAAGCTCTGTAAAAATGTTCCCTTTAATTTCCGTCTTAAGTTTTTTGAGTTGAATTACTGAAGAAGCAGCAAAAAAGATTGCTGCACGCTAGCATATTCTGAACTCTTCATTTTAATACCCTTGTCTGGGAAATGCAGATTGTTCTTTCGTGTCCCTGTAATAGGAAGGGATTATGAAAATCTCCAGTGGTATACTCGTCTTTTATAGCTGTGAAATCCACGACAGTGCCCCGGAGGGGTTCTCTAGAGGCACTGACTGTTTCCTCATAGCCCTTCTCAGTAATTAAGACACCTTGAAGGATTTCCAGTCCAATGTTGATGATCTCCCGAAGGCATGGCAGTTGTTGTGGGGGAGCTGCTATCCAGCGTCTTGTGGGCATGAATACAGAACAGCAGTGATCTCACCGCGAGCATCGATTTCCCCTTTGCAGAGCGTGCAGCTTTAATTGCCAAAACTCGAACATTAAACATGCCTTTTCTTAATGCAATTGGACCCACATACTGTGTGTGGCCAGCCTAGGTGTTCTTCTCATTCATCTCAGAGTGCGCAGCAGGCACACTTGGGAGGATGCAGCATTGCCCGTTTGGGCTGTCGAGTGCTGCTTTCTCTCGTAGGTCATGCACATCCTGGCCGTGGGGCGAGAGCACACTGATTGGACAGCAGGAGCTTGTCTGCAAAGCCAGACACGAAACGGTTTTCCGTTACCTGATGAAGCCTCCACAGTGGTTTCGTAGCTCACTCAGTCGCCGTTTCTAGTCCTTTCTAAATCGCCGCCATGCGGTTTTGCCTTTTTGTGTTTCAGTATGAGCCCCGGGGACCAGGCAGGCCACTGTACCAAAGGCGGATCTCCTCCAGCTCTGTGCAGCCGTTCCCCGACGATTCGGGCACACCCCAGGGCAGCCTCGCACACTGCAAGGAGCTCCAGGACCCCCACAACCATCTCTCGTATGGCTACCCGTCTGCAGAGCTGTGGGCAGGCAGCAGCCCCGCTCTCCCATTCCAGAACATTCCATGCAATGGAGCCAACGGCGTCGTCTCCCACAGGGACCTCATGGGTAGGATCTACAGCACAGGATTTCCTGGGCTCCGAGTTTGCATTTCTGAGCAGTCAGTGAACGTTTCAGGGCCTCTTCTAGCTGTTTGTGAGGGAAGCCAGCGACCTACTGTAACTGTCAGAGTGTTCCGTGATGATAATTTTGGAACGTTTTCTTTGTCGTCTACCGTTTTCTTTTGAGCAAACCGTGGCCGTTGTGGCAGGAGGTGTTTATATATTACATGTGTAATAATATTGCAAAATTGATCGTGTGGGTCAGTAGCCGATGGGGCTGAGCAGTTTTCCAAGCTTGGGCGGTTTTATTCATTCTGCTAAGAGATCGGGACCCAGGTCAGCTGACTAGGTAGCAGGCGAGCCGCGGTGCTGTCCTTCTTGATGATGGAGAGATGCCGAGTGTAGAAAAAGAACCGGGACTTCCCAGGCCGCTTGACAGCAGGGTGCTTGTTTTTCACCCCCTTACTGTAGTGGTTGTGCGTTGCTTATTATTAAAGCTCTTCGTTCCAAGGCCTGGTCTCCAGAGGTTTAGCTGTTAACTCATCCATGCAGATGGATCTGAGTTTCTTGTTTTAATCTGTAGATGTAAATGTGTGACTTGTCTTTCAAAACCGTTTTAAAGAGCTGACTCCTCGAGACAGGAGGAGAGGGAGGCGAAGGCTTTGATGAAAGTGATCATGACGAGGGCAGTCGGCTGCTGGTTATTCACAACAGACGGGATGGGAGAAGGCACTTGGAGGGACAGGCGTTCTCGTTTCCCTGCCCAGGCTGTGAAGTAACCTCGTCTCTCTCTCTCTCTCTCTCCGTCTTGTCTCCGCACAGCAGCGTCCTCGAAGGCGGTGCGTTCGGCGGAGGAGCACGTGAAGCCGGAGGGCGCGGCGCAGCTGGCCGGCTCCTTCAACTTCAGCTCCCTCCAGCACCTGGGACAGTTCCCCCCGCTCCTGCCCAAGAAGCAGCCGGCCCCTGACCCAGGCGGGGGGGGGCCCCAGACCCCTGGCATGAGCAAGCCTCCCACCATGTCGTATGCCAGTGCTCTGAGGGCGCCCCCCAAGCCCCGAACTGTGCCCGAGCAGGGCAAAAAGAACAGTGACCCCCTAACGCTGTTACAGGAGCTCAGCATAGGCAGTTCAACAAGTAGCAACGGATACTACTCTTACTTTAAATAAGTGTAACAAATTAATTAACACACAAAATGAGAGAGAGAAAAAAACGGAAATACGAAAAAAAACTTTTCAATAAGTGCTTTTTTAAGTTGTTTTTATAGATAGAATTTTTGCGTTTTAATTTTTTACTTGCATTAGTCTTGTCAATTCCTTTACTGTTTGACATATCTGTGAATTAAAAATGATATATTAAAAAACTATATAAAAAAAGCAAAAACACACAAGAACTGGTTGACCACTTGGCTGCCGGACAATCTTTTTCTTTGACTTTGTGCTTTTTCTCTGCACTCAGCCCTCGAGGTGAGATCATGGAAGTGATTTTTCTAGGCTCGTGTTTTTTTAAAGATAAACGTTAAGTTCATTTATTGTTGAGGTTGTGTTTTATTGTGGGGGCAGCCAAGTGGTTAACCGAATAAAACAAAAACACAAAAGTTGTATAGAAGTAGCTTAATTTTTTCTCTAACCTGTACATATAAAGGAGTGAAATGTATGCCACATGCTTAATTTCCTGTACCATGTTAGCGCTGACATTACGACACATTGCTGAGTTTCTGTAACAGATGAATCTCCAGTGTATTTAAGAAAGTCTTCACTTAAATGATAATAAACCATTTGAAAACAAAGACTTGAAAAGACAACATGGAAAATCAAATATATTGTTAAGCCAAAATAACAGAAGAGAAACTGTTTTGGAGGTGTACTGCTCATGTTGATTGACATACATCAAAGGTGTCTTTCTTGCAAGAATTCAAGTTTAATTTTCTTATTTTGAAAGTAAGAGATGAAGGTTTCCAGCTTATTGCAGTGGCGTTTAAGACTGTTGTCAACTCCACGGTTGGCTCCCTAGGCCGAACTCAAAGCTGTAATCACTTCATGGATGGGCACCTGTTCGTAGGTGTCGTTTTTTTTTTCGTTTTAAAATCCGCTCCTGTGTCCTTAATTGGTCTTAAAGTAACTGTAATTGCCTAGTGTTTTGGTTTTATCATGCAATTTGACATCTAGCAAATAACCTCCATCGTCCCTCCCTCAGTAGTCTGTCGTGTGTGGCTCAAGGCAGCTCCTGCTCTCTCGGGGGCTCGGGGTCCCACTGACTAGAGCGAGATGAGATGGCGAGCTGCGTTTGACAACCAAAAATAGCCCCTTTGCTCATGACTCATTTGTCTGCATAATTATGCTCTGCATTTCTGTGATTTTGCCTTTCATTCTCCATGCGTTTGCTGTGCTCTCTCTTGGTTTACCGTAGTTTGCATTGTGCTTTACCACGTTTTTGTGTTAGCCTTGCCATTGTTTTAGCCTTTTCCACGATGTAACCAGATTAGACTTGTCACCTCAACCACCAGCAACTCCAAAACCTACCAGAAATCAGTCTAACTCCCCCACCTATTTCCCACCAATATACTGTAGGATTCATGCACAACAGCAGCACTTGTCCACCTGTGTCAGATCACAAGGGTCGAATCAGCTGTGGACGTTGGACAGGGCTTGCTAGTCTTCCTCTCTTTCGGTGTGTGTGTGTGTGTTAGACCCTGCTCACATTTTCTGTCACCCTTTGTGCTCAGGGGTCTTCGAGGAACATTGAGGAAGCTCGTGTATATTGAAACTCACCTTTTAAGTGCTAGCACTCCTTCATTAGGACAGCTAGCTCTTAGGGCACCAGTGGAGAGGAAGGGGGTTGAGGAATCCATCTGGTCACCCAGGCATTGTTTTAGAAACAAACATGCTGGGGTCCCCGACATAGGATAATGAGGTACAGCAGGCCCCTTTTGAAAATTCCAGACTTTAGGGTTACTGATTTTTTCAATATGTTTAACAGATCAGAGATTTAAGTGACTCGGTGTTCTGTAAATCCAGACCAAAGTTCTCTACTGTTCCTCTTGTTTTTGTTCAGGTTGTCGTGCAGGGTATGTTCCTCTGTTGCTAAATAGATGGGCAGTTGAATTGGAAGGCAGGTCTCTTGCCAGTGTATTAGACTACAGCATCTGCCTGGAGCCCCCTTTTTTTTACACTTTGTATGATACACCTGGTAGTGCTCGGATAGTTGCAACTGATATCTGTTCTAATTGGAAATGCTTTCAGGGTGTTTTAGTGACCTGGCAGAGTTGTACAATAATGCACAGTTTGATTTTTTGTCGACAGAGACAGAATTGTGCTGTACTTCGTGTGGTCTTATACTGTTGCCCTGCTCCTTAACTTCTGGTTAGTCCTTATAAATGTCTTCCTTGCGGTCGGCAAGGACGTCTTCGGAAAACCCTCCCCCAAGCTCCTGAATCGCGGTGGCCAGGCTGGAAGCTCCCAGCAGTCCCAAGTGTGGGGGGCGTGCCCAGGGCACGGATCCGCAATGCCAGCAGGGACACCCTGCTCGGATCCCAGCTCCAGATCTCGGGTCAGGAATCCAGCAGGTTTTCCCCACGCGCCTGCTAGTCATCTGCAGCAGAAAGTAGGGATAATCCCGTCGCAGTTAAACCTTCATCTCTTCAGTTCAGCAGAGCGCTGCCACTGATTTCAAGAGATGCAGAACCTCCTGTACACCAAGTCAGGAGCGCTGGACTGGAGATGCCCCCTAGCCTAGAGCTTGGAAGACTTCCTTCTCCCTCTGTCTCTTGGGCTTTGATCCACTCCAACAAATAGTACCTCCGTTTAGTTTGGTCCAATCAATTAAATACCAGTCTAAAATGAATAGGTATGGAATCGTATGTGTTTGTGTAATGTTTTGTAAGGTGTACTTGCTAGTTTCTCAGTACCCTATCAGTTGAATTCTCAAGTTGCATTTTATTTTGTTTGGATTAATAAAATGTAGGTCCTGTCAGTGTTGCACTTTTAATATTTTTTAACACTTTGCAAGTCTTTACATTCTTCTTTTGATAATCATGACATTACCACGCAGTAGAACACATTTCCATACTCTTTCCCCTCGCATGGATTTTATTCATCTTGCTGTTTGTGGTGTTTCTAGCTACTCGGCACAAACCAGGTTTCAGTATTTCACCACATCTACTCCCATCAACAGAAAACAGAAATGACAGTTGTGCTAAGCAAAAAGAAACGTTTTTTTTAAAGCTTTGCTGTTTTTGTAAATGTTTCAAGAAAACCCATCTTCTGTGGCACTCTGATAATTCTGTATGTACAGTATATAAATATATAAATAAGATGTTTGCCTAGAGAAGAAGTATTTTTTGATTCATCCTTATTGTAGTCATACTGAAAACGGCCCAGCTTTATTTAAACTTTTAAGTTAAACCACAGTTGCATGGTAAGACAAAGTCTGAGAGATGCATCGACTACTGAAAGCTGCTACTCTGCAGAGAGATGGCCTTGCTGAAGTCGAGTCTCATTTGATTTTGCCTGTTCTGCAGTTTAACAACACCGCAATTGTGATTGTCAGAAACAGGAGAGTGTCTGGCTTTTATCCGACATGATTCTTGCTTGCAGAGCCTTAAATGATGGGAAGGCTTTGCGTTCGGAATGCACCGATTTGAAGTAATATAGGTATGTGGCGCTGGCTTGTTTCTGCTATGAATTTTCGTTTTCCATTAAAGTATTTTATATCTAATCTGCAACCTTTCGACCTTAAACAACTGATTTGCATAGCCGTGAAGCTAGTGGAATGATCCCACCGGTGCCATCCAGTCTGCATTTGAAAGATTTTGTGTCTTCTGGTCAGTTCATGCTTTGGCAAGCAGCCGAAAGGCGACACAGCTAAGCTCGCTGTATTCCAGGCACCCTGAAGCAACACTCAGTACCTGGGAGAACCCGCTGTCTTTCCGAAGTTTGCCACTGCTCTAGTGGTTTCTTGTGAGCCGTGTTCTGGTTCTCATCTGGGCTGTGTTGACCAGCGAGTGCACCCTTGCTACATATCTGTAAATACTGAACATTTTGTAGGTGTTTCTTTTTAACCAGGACGTAGGGCGTGGGAGAAGGCACGGGTGCAAAGCCTCACTTTTGTAGTCGCTGTTTAAACGAAATGATGCCCTTTTAACCGTTGAAATAGAAGGGTTTATTCACACTGCAGGAATCTTTCAGGAAAGGAAGAACTTTTTAAAGATTATTTTTTTTTGGTTCTGGAAATCCCACTAAGCTTTGTTTGTGCAGGAACAAACCAGTCAAGGAAAAACAGATTTATTAAACACCAATCAAGTGAATCGCGCTTTTTTTATTTCAAAGTCACTCTGTTTTTCAGAAATGAAAGCTGTGAGGTTACGTTTTTGCGTAGGTTTTAAAATTAAGCCTGGAACATGAAGATTATGGGTGCTTTGTAGTTTCAGTGATCTACAATATTTGTGAAATTTGTACTTTTCCCTCTATGCATGTATAAATGTAACCTGGCCTTTTTTTCATTCTCAGATGGTATATAGATTTGTGCAGCATTTTAGTTTTTTTTCCTAGAAAATAAAAAATTGATATATTATTTGATGTTTACATTAAACTGTGACATTATAAAAATGGAACACTAGTATTTTACTGATTTATATGCTGATGAAAAATGTCTTTTGAGTTGTGTAAGATTTGGTTAGACGTTGCTCCCTGACATGCTCAGGACATTAATCGGTTTTAAAATCTTAACAGATGACTGATTTAGGTTTCTAACAGAATACTTGATTATTCTTTATTTACCCACTCACAGTGTGTAGCTTTTTAGCTGTTGACTTCATGGACAGTGTACATTGCTGGTGGTATGTTACACTATAATTAATGTTTTCATTTTCATTTATGCTACTTATAATGGTCGCTCGGATATTTCCACCAGGTCGAGATGCATACTCCTTCCTTAAAACTGCTCTTTGTCTGGAAACTCAGAACCCATTATGACCAAGGCCATTTGACTTATTACATTTCTATAGATTGGCAAAAACAACACGTCAGTTCACACTGACCTGCAGATACAAGATCTTGGTGTGTCTGAGATAGCTGAAGGGTGGTGGGGGGCTCTTTTTAGGCCCCTTTTACATGAATTAATTTAAAAGACGTCATTTTACTTTATTTACCTTTATTTACTGAAGATGCTGCTGCTGCTGCTATTATAGTAGATATTCAAATGCACAGACCTAGACTGCGTGTCCTGTCCTTATTAAACCTCAATCACATTTAATTGCTCTTCCTGTAGAATAATGCTGTTGTTTTTAAAGTCAGGCTGTAAGCTTTAAAAACCGTCTGACAAAGGTCTTCCCCTTGCTGGAGTGGCTGACCCTGCATTGAGGTACATTCACTTCTGGCTCGTCCTGTGCAGCCTGTGTCGCACGTGCGAGTAGTGAACCTCTTCCTTTCACAGCTGGAGAAATAACTGACTTCCATGTGCATGGACACCAGCTCCGTGAATCCTATCTAAGAAAGAAATACACTTAATTTCATTTGATTTTGTATTCTGAACAGCTTATAAAGGCTATATACTGTTTAGTACTCCATTTTTTTATAATTAAATTGATAGAACCATATTATTTTTTTCGTTACGAAAACCTACAAGGCCGCTGTTTTATGGCGTAGCTGAATGTCCCCGGTAGTCGAAATGAAATGCTCAAACTCCCATGTGTCTGGCAGCTCTTTTTCAGCAGGTTCGTGAGCCATTCGAGTGGACTCCTGCGTCGTTCCGGTCCGGTCCGGAAACGGTGGCAACCGAATATTCGAAGAGGAAGGTTTAAAAGGAAAACTGAAGTGAAAATCTAGGTAAAACGTAGCACAGCGGCTGCTAACATTAAATTAGCAGCGCTAGGCAACATTTGAATGCTGGAGACTGCTGGTGTTGACTAGCCTTGGAGCATTTGTTTTTTGTCCAGCTCCTAGTTACCAACCTTGTGTTCAGCAATGTTCAGCTCAAACCTGTCTTTCCAATCTCTTCAACTGAAAAGTTTTTTTTTTTGCCCCAAGAAATTGCAACCGTTTTCTTTTATAATTTCGATTTGTGCACGGTGGCGTAAGAATAAACTTGTATTGGTTCTACTTCGCTTCCGTTGTTGGCGGTTCCTTTTAGACGTTTTAAACTGCACTGAACAAAGCCAAACGAATTGGATCGTTACCTTTCCCCTTTTTTATTCGCTTGACTATTAACTTCTTGCTTTAGCAGCATTTTTGTCTTCCCTTTTTGTTGTTGTCGTTGTTGCGTAAAGCATTGCAGTGCTTTTCCATGTTCAAGCACTGGAATCGCGCTTTCTCCAGTCAGTGAGTCTCAGGGACAATATGTAGGACATAACGCGTCGGATGGCGTTTTAATGTCGAAATGATCGACGGAAAAAAAACTGGCACACGTGCCACACGAAATCTCAGAAAGCCGGAGAGAGATGCAGATTAAAACTCGCTCGTTTTGTATCGCTTTTTGCACTCGAATGGAAGTCCGGTAGGGTGGGCAGGGCGAGAGGCGTCCGTTGAGATCCCGGAGTAGCTGAGTGTTTTCACACGGAGGGGTGCGGGTCGGGGCGCAGCAGGTGTGTGCTCACCGGAGTGGCGCGACTCATTACCATGTGGCGGTACAGCGCCCGTCCGTCCGCGCTCCCTGACAAACCTCGCCGGCGCGTCTGAAATTGCCATTAACTCACTGGGGGCACCCGGGCTTCACCAAACTGGCTGTTGCTGCTCATCTAAGATTGCAACAGGCGCCGACGAGCGCTGAGAATCGTCTTCCTTCCCTGCGGTCCTCGGAGTATGAAGTGAACGGAAAGGGACACGGACCGGGCCGGTCAGCGCTGCGGCGCTCGGTGGAGAACCGCGGCTCTCCAACACGGAGACAGTTCAAGCGCTTTCCAAACTAGCCCCGTCACCGCTCCGTTCCCCCCCCCCCTTTCCTCTTTTTACTTAAATATTACCACAGGTTTATTTTGCGGCGTAGCCGAATTCTGCAAGAGGCACAAGTCGCCCTCTGCGAGCCTCGTGTTTATTTGCCCCCTTACCGCGAGTTCGTCGTGGCGGTGAGTGAACCGAATCACCCGAAATAACGGGGGCTCGTGTGGTTATTTACCTCCGGATCCCCCGGGACCCCGTACTGGACAAACCGGATTAGAAAATGGCTTGATGGACGATTACTTGCGGTTTAAAAACAGATGTCATTAATGCACAGTCTACAGACGAACAATACATATTACATCTTTTTTATGCTTATTTCTCAGGAGTTGGCTTTCATACGATTTTCTGTGGGGGGTCTGTTTTCAAACAATCGAAGAGTGCAGGCAAATGATTCAGTGTTCTGTGTTTTTATTTAAAAATACATAGAGCAGCGTCATTTTTGTCACTTTTCCGTTTGAGATGAATACACGCGCTAAACATCCACAGCAGGTCTTTTTGTCTACAGTAGTTGTGACATAGGCCTTTGTACTACAGCATAAGGGGGAAAGTAGTTGTGGAAATAGTTGTCAGCTGTTTTCTTTAGCCTTGCCGTTTCCTGTGTCAGTTGTAACATTAAAGTCTGAAGTCGGAAGGGCTTCCTAAAACGACACGAAATTCGGATCTCCCTTCCAAGGATAGCGTGAGGATATAGAGGCACCTCACGTCAGGTGAATACCTGAATATTCCCAAGTAAAACTGCTGAGCCAGGGAAGACAAAACAGAAGAAAAAAAAAAACCTTAGTCCTTAAACACATCACGCCACTTAGATTTCACAGTTAAAGACTGTTTATACACATTTCTGTCAGAGCTGGAAGACTGTTACAGATGGTTGTTCCGTCAGTGATCGGAATGAAAGAGAATTAGAGTTGCAATGAAGAACACCGACACGCAACTGTGTAGTGCAGCGATTGTAAGAAATCACAAACCTTTAGTTTTATTATGCACTGTTTTTTTATTCGTTTTTCAACCGAGGGACAAAATTTAAAACCAGATGGATTGATCGTTTTTTTGTTATGTACGAAGGACTTACAAAGAACGTCTTTAAAATAGTAAAAAAAAAAACGCATTCACTGAATCCTGGTGTTAATAGCGAATGGAATTGGCCGCAAATTGTGTAATCCCTTCTCACGCGGAAAGAGGGGGGAATTATGCCTACTTGTTCCTTCTGAAAAAGAAACTTTTAGAAGCCACCGAAACGCCTGCCAAATATATCTGCACCTGCAGATACTGAACTGCGTCCAAACCAGCCTTACAGATCTTCAGTGTGGCAGTCATTAGCATTCAACCCAACACCGTCCAACAAAACCCCGGCGCCCCTGCCTGGGATGCGGGTTCGGCACCAGGGCTCACACACGTGCTGTACAGCCGAACCCAGCGTTTTCCTGCCACAGCACCCCGTCCTTTCAAATGCGTGAAAACCCAACTCACTGTGAACCTCGGCGAATTCACTGATTTAGAGGCGAAACCGAGGACAGACGCGCACGGCGATCTTCCTGGCCGCCGGCGCTTCCCACAGTGTACAGCTCACAGCTGCGAGCGGTTCGCGTTTCCCCTGGATGAATCCCTGGCATTCCTCTCAGTGCTGTTGTTCACCACGGTGCCATCTTTACGGTGTTTTTGCTGGGTTTTACTGCACTGCTTTGGTTTTACTTTGAAATGGGACGTTATACAGTAGGTGCTCTTTCTAGTGGTATGACCGAGACCAGAAGACACTGCTTCACGCAAAGGGTGGTGGGAGTGTGGAACAAGCTCCCCCAGCCGTGGTGTTGAAGCCGATACCCTGGCTTCTTCAAAGAATCAGGTAGAGGAGATCCTGGGATCTATTAGCTATTAATTACCAAAGAGGCGAGACGAACCACATGGCCTCCTGTCGCTTGCCACCATTCTGAAGTTCTTAAGACAATTTTGCCGAAGGTATCAAGAGCCCTTTCTGAAAAACACAACTGTGGGGAAAGACATTGGTTTTCCCTGTGACTCTGCAGTACATAACATCATTCCCGGCCCCTCTGTAGGTGGGCCTACATCGCAATTTCACTGAGCCCTTACTGTACTTGTGTAATTTAAGGATTGCGCACACAACATCTGAACACCAATCACCTGTGAAGCGGTCAGGTGGATTGCTGTTCGAGCGCGATACTTATAAGCACACTTTAATCACGAGAAGAAGAACAAGAAAAAAAAAGCTCGTTTTCATTATAAATGGATGTACAAAAAAACAAAACAACTCATACAAGTTCAACGCTTACAAAGTGTAACATCCGGCCAAGCGAAATGTGGAGCATTTCTCGAGTTTGAGAAACACTTGACCCTTCTCCGCCTCTTCCTGACTGACATGCGGTGGGATTCGGGCTGATGGTTCTACTACTCTTCTGAAAGCGGGTGTCGGTGTCGGTGCCGGCGCCCCGGGCCGGGGTTCTACTCGATGGGCTCGGGCTCCGCGTCCATGCAGGTCTCCCAGGGGTTCCGCGGCATCTGCGGCATGGAGATGAGCAGCAGCGCGATGCCGCTGAGGAAGAGGAGGACGAAGGCGGCGCAGGCGCAGGCGAAGGACCAGGAGTAGTAGTAGTCGATCCAGATGGTCTCGTCGCTGGCGATCATGCGCTTCACGGACTGGCGCATCACCTCCACGGAGATGATGGTGCACAGGCCTGCGGAGACGAGACAGACGCGTGTGCGTGGCTTGTTCTCGAGAGCGCAGGGGCACGCCCAGACTCCCGCTGTCTGCGGCGGGTTTGACACGGATAAAAACTCGGCGTGAAATCTCGAATGAGGGAGATGATCCTGGGAGGTGGACAGATGGCTGTGATACTGCAAGGGCTAATTAATATTCTCGCCCATAATTATCCCCCTCTCTCTTTGAGACCCTTTGCACACTGAACGTTTATTTCTTTACCTTCTGATTGCTTATTTTCTCTGTGGATGCAACTGCAGATATAAAAAGATATCATTAACTATGATAAGTATTAATTATTAAAGTATTAGTCGTTCATGATATAAATTTGAATTCTGGATATGTTCCATTTTCTTAGCGCGTGCAGCGTTCCCGGTTTTCAAGGCATCCTTCGCTTACTGTATCTGTTGGCAAAGCCTTGGAAGAAACATTGAAATGTTGACTAATTAAGTAAACTAAGTAAAATAATGTGTTTAATTAGGGCAACAGAGTACTCAGATGGAATGAGAGCCAGTGATTCTGTAGGAGTGCAAAGTCAGGCCAGAAGGAAGCTCTCTGACTCAGGCGGAGGGAGCTGAAGTGTGCTGTCAGAGCCCAGGAATCTCCCTCCGGCTATCCCTTCTTTCCGCCCGATCCCAAGCGAAGCTCAGCGGTCCTACCGCTGAGCCGCAGCCAGAGGCCCTGGGGGCGCTCTGCGCGCTCGTGTGATTGCGAGAGCCGCGCTTGTCAGAGCCCTCTCTGCCTGCGGGTTCCTGCCAAATTATTGACAAGGCTGTTCTGGCACTGCGCTGCTACAGATCGCTGCCGAAGCACTTCGTCCTGCTCGGAATCCGTGCTCCCTGAGCCGGCTGCACGGCCCATCCCGTCCCTGTCCCAGGAGTGCCTGGGGAGCTGGGCGAAAGGAGGCGAATGGAGGCCCTCCTCTTCTTCTGTATGGACAGGATACACTCACTGCACAGCAGTGTGGACAGCCTGGAAGGGCTCTTTTAGTGTTTCTCAATTTATTGGGCTTAAATGACCACTTTTCCCAGCTGCTCCAGGGATTAAGAGAGTCATATAGAGACTACAAGTCAGAGCTCTCCCAGTATAGGGGATGGTGACTTGCTTCAAGGGGATTTGCTTCAAAAGAGAAATTGTTCTCAGCCTGCACAAGCAGTATTGTTAGTGCTGTACAAGGAACCTCACACCTTTGTAAGGGTTTCCTTTTGTTTCTTTGAAGGTGGGTAAAGTCTAGCCGTGGCTTTGGAGAGCCACATGCCTGCAGAGTTTGTTCGAGCTGCCAGTCGGTGGCTGAAGATCAAGCTAGTCTTGACTAATTGAGCTGATAGCTGGGCCAGGAAAGGAAGTGCTCAGCAGAAAGAGTCCTGAAACAGGAGGACTGAATCAGTACCCTTGACTCTTCTGCGCTCCAGCTAATCCTTCAACACGGAAGAGACCGGCAGCAGCAGAGTCCATATACAGTTATGGGTCTTTTAAATAATTAAGGTAAATGAGATTATTAAGGGTTGGTGACATAGGTCTGGAAATGGGCTGTCTGGGAGGAGATCGCCACAGAGCAAAAGGGGCCTTCTGGCCTTATACCACCCAGACCGTATCTCTGTGCTTGTGCTTCCTGAGCCTCAGTGCTCCAAGAAGCCCCTGTGGTTCTGTACAAACTTATTCATGTTGAAAGACAATTGCAAAACCTACTGCCATTTTTAAGGAGCCTCTCCTTTTTTTCCTTACCTGCAAATGTGAAGAACATGCCGGCAGGCTTCAGGAGATAGTCCATGCCTTTCTTAAAGGAAATCAGGATGCAGATGGTTCCCAGAATCATGAATCCCACACTGATGATCGAGATGGCTGCAGCAGATATGCTATACTCTAAAGAGAAAGACGGGGGTAGAGTTTTAAGTTTTGCCCACCTTTTTATGAACTCACTGCCTTTTCCAAACTGCTTCAACACGCATTTAAATGTTTCCTAGTGTTCAAGATTGATCATTTCAATTGCTGTTTTTTCTCAAATATTTACATTTTTTCAGCTTTATTAGGTTTGCATAAAATGTCTCTCTGACCCTCTCTGCAATAGACTCTTAGTGTTGGGTTGCGTGTGCTTTCCTTAAACTTGGTTGCACTTCTGCGGCAATGTAACTATTGCCCTGTGACCTGACACAGATGATTGTGAAGTTTTTTGAAATAGCGCTCGCCCCCAAAACAAAGCCAATTCCGTTTCTCCTCATGTGAACGGAACTGAATTGAAATGGGTGGACGGGCCCGACTCAGCTCGCTGCCTGACGGGTGCAGTTACGTCCAGCAGGGGGTGTCTTGCAGGGCTCAAGTCCCTGAAGCGCAGGGACTGAGTGGGGATCAGGCCTCCCACTCCACCCAGCTGCTCCTAGTGCCACAGGGCAGAGTCCAGCTGAGATGAGCTGTGACGTGAACTAGGTCTTGTAATAAAGAACGACTGTATTGTGACAGTAAGTGTGGAAGATTTACAGTATTAAGAACAAAGCTGTGTTTTGTTTATGTTTTTATGTGTGTTTGGGATGGGTTGTTTTGTCTATTACTATAGTATGTACCATGGTGTGACATTCTATATATGCATATGGTTTTGAATCGCACTTGGAATGAGTTGCATGTTTCTTGCATGGTGGTAAATACTGCTGCCTCACGGTTCCCGGGACCTGTGTTTGATCCCAGGCTGAGGCACATTCTGTCTGCATGTTCTCCACCTGCAAATGTGAGTTTTCACTGGATGCTCCGGTTTCCATCCATCCGTCGAAGACATGCTGGTTAATTGGTGTCTCTAAATTGCCTCTGTGTGTGTGTGTGTGCGTACGCACTGTGAGGGCCAATGGGTCACCATTGCAAGAACATGCAATTCATTCTAAATAGAGTTCAGAATTGTATATACTATATATATGCCTTGTGCCCTTTGGTTCTGCTGTAGGATCTAGTTGGTTGCAACCATTACTAGGAATGAGCAGCGTCCTGATAACCCTAATGGATGGACAATATTATTATTCTATTATTCGAACTATTCTTAGTCCTCAAGCAAGCTATGCAATGTGACATAAAGTCTGTTCTAAACAATCTCATATTTCAACATCTCACAGTGGCCAGAAATAATCCCCACATGTGTAAAGATTCTTTCCACACCACTACCGAAGCAGAGCGCTTAGCGAGAGTGTTTTCAGAAGCCAGGGAATCCTCTCTGAGACACTCAAACACACAGTGAGGCTCAAGGGGCGGCACCAAGGAGTTCTCATTGCTCCTATGCTTCTATAGGGACTTGGAGAGCGTATGGGAGTATAGGCTTGACAAAGGGTTGAAAAAGATAAAAGACAAATGAGAACCACGCTGAATAAACTGGTAAAAAACTATACATGAACGCAAAACAAACCTGCAATTAGAAAGAGCAAGCACCCTTACAATATGCTTATCAATGTGTTTTTATCATGGCTTGACTTGCATTATTCTGGTATGATTAACATTACTGTTATTATTCTTATTGATTTTTTCCATGACAGGTCCTTTTGTCCTGAGTATCTGCAGTGATCTAAGAGTCTTATTATGACATCTTGATTGGTGTGACAATTTAATGTGCTTGTAATAAATTGCTGTTATTAATGCAGACTGTACCACAAAATGCAGGAGCCAAATGCCCTCATCTTCCCTGTGGGAAAACTGCCCACTCCACAGTGAGTGGATTAGACAGGCAATTTTGGACAATGATGGCAATTATTTACAAACAGTCCAGTTGTCCAAGCCATTAGCTTGTCTTTTAAGGAGTGCAAAAAATATCCTGCTGCAGAGGTAGAGTGCAATATGCAGCAATATTTTTTTTACTACTGTTTCTAACAAAACATCAGCTTTTTAATGGAAAAGGCAACTGCAAACACATGTATCTGTTCATCAGACATCAGTCAAAAGGCATTAAATTCTACACTCAGATTTAAAGATCACTACGCTAAAATAAAAAGGAAATTTTACAGTTCCTGTAATCGCTGTTGATTGAGAATGGAAGCTAGCGTCCGCAATCTAACGTCTTTGTACAGTAGATGTAAAACACATGTGGCACTGTCTCAGCGACACACAATGTCTCTCCGTACCTGAAACAAGCCTATTCAGTGTGTAAATAACGTCTGTTAAGCTGCAATTATTTGTCAGTGATTCCTCGTACAAGTTAATTGAACACTCATTCATTCCAGCAAGTCGTAAAAGCAAGCTAGTGACTTAAATAAATCAAGATGCTTTGTTATTAAGGTACTAACTCAATACTTACACTGAAACTGCTCAAATTCAAGAATAAAACTAAACAATCAACAAGAAAGCAAACAGTTTGATAGGTACTCGGTGGCTGTGAGTTGTTTGGAGTGTGGGGCATTTCCAGAAGGCACAGAACAGATCACAGGGCAGGGCTGGACACTTCTAGCACCCTGACAGCTCAGCGTTGTTTCTAGAAAAAGCGGTCCGTCAGGTGCCGAACGGGAAGCAACAGCAGAGCGGTGAGGTGTGAAGCGTTCCTGCCATCTCCTGTCGCGCTAATCCACAACGGGCCGCGTGTGTCACATTTGCGCAGGAATGGGAAAGGAAGAGCAGAGGCTTTGAGAACAAAAGACCGGATTACTTTCAGTTTTTAAGCTGCTTTGACGCGCTGCAAGGGAAAAAATCCCGGTAGCCACAGAGATAGTGTTCTTGCAGCCTTTGATCGTTTGTCTTCTTAAGGTGTAGCAGAGGCCGGAAGGGAAACGGGGTGACTTTCAGGGTATCCCCTGCCTGCTGGAGATGGCAGCAGAGTGCAGAGGTCGCATCTCGCCCGGCCATGTGACGGTTAAAAAAAACACAAATCCAATGCCTGCGCTTTCTCGAAGGCTAGCTTATCTCTCGTTCTGACGCCTGTGTCCTACTGGGGGAGAGCTGTGCTTTAGAAAGTCTATATCCTTATTTTTTGCTCGATATTCATTCCGGTTCTGGGCTTTTGTCGGCCCAGGTGTGTGCTAATTTAATGATTGCAGTAATTGTGTTTGTTCAGCTGCCCATGTCTAAGGAGCATAAACACAGAAACGACGAGCCCATGGGAATTCCGCTCAGGTTAATATGGCCACCCATCACCTGTCACTTTGTCTTTATTCGACTCTGGCAGGCTTTCAGACGCGTGGTCCAGTTCTCAGGATGTCCTGCCAGAGCTCTACACAGGCCCCCCCCAGCTTCCCAGACCTCCCCAGGGACTTGTACAGAAAGGCGGGGCGACACTCAGGCTGTGCTCAACCCTTAGAAAAGCATTAAACATAAGGGACACTAAAAACGCAGCTCCTCTGATGAACGCTGACGTGTGTCGATGAAATTGTCAACTAAACTTGTACCGTCTGTGTTTTGGAGCTGCGTTTCTCCCAAAGCAGTGTAAGGTACCACTGGACTCCTTCTGGATGTGAATGAATGAATGTGTCTGAGTGCTGGGTAGGTGGCAGACCAGTCTTGAAAGGAGTGTTAAACAAGACCAAATGTTTTTAGTTGATTGAGATCAAGCTGCTTGGGCGATGGTACCCATGAAGATGACACCCTCAGCTGAATCTGATATGACAGCAACGGTTCTGACAGACAGTATTTGCATGGAAGGGATGACAACACCCAGAGTTAGACTGTTGGGCTTCATGGCATGTCGGCAAACATGCCTGGTATTCGCTTCATATGTAAGTTGCACACCCAGGCAGGTGGGAATCTGTGAATGGTGAATACTGGGATTAAAAGATGGCAGGGCAGAGGGTTCAGTTGTCAGACATCATTATTCTGCACCTGACTTGCAGCACAGGAGGTTAGGCCTCTTGTATAATCCTTCAGAGCCCATGTAAGTTCATAATGGATATGATCTTTGTCTTCAATTGTTGGTATTGTCCGATGTGGTAAGACATCAAAACTGAAGGAATTATTAGTCGCATGACAGCTTTTTTTAGCCAGCTAGTTACAGAATGAGCAACTTTGACATCTAACCTATGTTACCTTTCTTTTGATAGGACTGCCACCTCTATACAATACAAGGCTTTCCCATTCACCTGCAAGCCACTGCTTTCCTCAGTCCACGCTCACTCTTCCACAACTGCACTGGCCAGATGACTCATTCTGACCGGTCAGAATAGCAGGCATGAACTAGGTGTGCAGTAATACACAACAGGAGTGCTGGCACAGTGTTAGACAACACAGCCACGCCTTCTCAAAAGGCTCTCGACCCAGTGACCTCCTAGTCACATGGCAGACCCAGAACAGTCCTAGAATTGAGAAATTAAAATTAAAAATGCCTGCCAGGTTTTCGTTCCTTTTTAAATTGGCGCCAGGTTTAAAAAATAAATGTATATACTGCTGCATGAAGCAGTAAATATTTCCTTATGTGCTTTTACTGCATCATTGGAGACAGGAAGATGAATCCAGCTCCAATCGTTTAAAAAGTTCTGTCCTTGTTGTGTGTCTTTGTCTAATGTAATTTACTTGCCGCTGAAAACCTTAAATTCGGGGAATTGCATCCCTTCTCCAGAAACTGACCTCCCCTGGTGAGTATTTTCCAGTAGCTCTAGTGGAAAAGCTGCTGTAATGCATTTTTAGTACAACTGTATGGGCTTTATTCCCAATTCAGAAGCAGGTGTACACACGATTGTGACCAGTGATCATCCAGAGAGGGTCTTGGACGGCTAGGTTTTAAATGAAGGGTGCTTACCTTTTTGAGTTTTAACTTCAAACAGCTCAGCTTCCTCTCCAGAAGTGAAGTGTTTGAAATAAGAGCAGTTCTGGGCTGTAGGAGAGAATAAAAAAAATCCATAAAATTTCATATCCATGTGCAGAGTTTTGCCATGCAAATATGTTTTACCATTCTGTGAAGCTTTTGGCAAAGAGTTACAATAATAACAATAATTATAATACAAACACATTTCTTATTGGCAGTTTTTGTAGAAATTTGATTCAATATGGATAAAAAAGAGAAGACTTGAGATCTTGATCTTAAAATTCCTTCTTTTATAGAGATTTATGTTTAGATGGCCATTCCTTCGTGGTCATTAGCACATTCAAGCAATGAGGCTTCATTAACGTTCTTGTACTGACTTTTCATTTTACAGCTCCAAGATAAAAGCTAAGATCATCAGCCTCTCTCCAGCTTCAGTGCTTTGCTATGCAAATATTCATGTTAACCCAGAGCAGAACGCTTCTCCACAATCACATTCTCCCCTTCAGAGACTCCCCCCCACCCCAGAGACTGTACTCATAGGGGAGAGAGGAGAGGCAGCACGATTTCCGGCAAGTTCATTGCACAGCGTCTCTGAGAGAGAACAGGCCTGGTCAGTTCATGAAGGAGGCGATGTTCAAAGAACAGAGCAAGTAACGGTAGAGAACAAGCATGGCTTTCTTGTGTTCCTTTGTAACAGGTCAAATTTTAAAGTAAGAAAAAGCTAATATGGTTCTTGTGCAGCACAGGAGTACTGCAAGGTCTTTGTATGTTCTCCCTGTGTTTGTGTGGATTTCCTCAGTCTAAAGACATGCTGGTGGGAAATTGGTACTGGTGAGAGTGTGTGTCTGTATCTACAGTATGTGTGCCCTGTGATGGGCTAGTGTCCTGTCCAGGGTGTACCCTGTCTTGTGTCTGTTTCTCCGGCTCCCCTGCAACCCTTAATTGGATTAAGCAGTTAGAAGATGGATAAGGTGGTTCCTGAGAATACATATTTCTGCATTGCATAGTTTGACTAGGGCATGAGTCTTTTGCGCTGAAAAAAATCAGACCATGCAATTAGAGTACAAACTAATGAATAAAACATCATTGAAGGGAAAGGATAACAAGCCTAGGAAGACTTGATACAGAGGAACTTCACACACTGAAGGAATTGCACTGAAGCAGGAAGATTGACGGGTGGGGGAAACGTTATTCTTCAAAGTAGTTTTTCTTCTTTATGTTTTTAATGTCAAATGACACCAAAAGGAATATCAGTTCAGAAAAAAATTATATTCATTTAGGGGAAAATGCTAAAACCACATACAAAATTGGGGATGAGCATACTGTGAAAATGAGAAGTGTAACACTATAAAGTCTGAAGGCAGCTTTTCCTGTTCTCTCTGAGTAAGGGGGTGTACAGCTGGTAATTGGGAGAAAATCTTCAATGAGTATTACATTTTTGTGTCTCAACAGCAACACCTTTCATTTTTTACACCCCCGAGTCTGTGAGAGCATGAGAGAAAGGCAGACAGAAGCCCTGTTCTGGTGTCGTGTCCAATCTGCTCATCCTTGAGGTGTCTTGTGAGGTCCTGGCTTTGACTTCCGAAGAGAACTTTCCTAGAAAGTCATCCTGCCCGTGAGTCGTCTCCTGACTGGACTGGAAGGATGGTGTGGAGCTCTGGTGGTGTGTGCATTTCTGAATCTATCAGGTCAGTTTGTAGTTTGACATGTATTTTAAATACAATAGACTTCTTTCTTATTAGGTGGAAATTGGAACACCATGTTCATGGAATTGTTCCTCATCAAGCAGACCACCCGTCTGCTCTGCCCAGCAAGTTTAGCACGAGTCCTGCTTTTTTTCATTTTGTTTAATATTGGGCACCTTTGATGAACAAGCACAAAAGTGCAAATGGATTCTTGCTCTGAAGTGTGAAGGAGAAGGTGCTGTTACAGCCGTTGTTGTGTGATTAGTGAAGCAGGTCGCAGCTATAAACTGGGATTGTGTGCACAAACTGTGGATTTGCCCAAAGGTCGGGTAGTGTACTGTGGTAACAGCAGAGTAGTGCAGAGTGGAAAAAAGGTAAAAGCAAGCTCAAGGAAAGAGAAATATCATAAACATGGCAAAGTAATTGATTGGCAGAAAATCTGTTCACAGTTATGAGGAAACAGCAAAAATAGCAGGTGCATTTACTGCAGTAAACTGTGGACTGACGGTGAGATCTGCAATGCACTAGTGAAGTGGGCTGCAGGGTATAGTTTCTATTAAACTGACTTGCTAGATTCTAAATGAAATGGACACTTTCATGATGATGATTTTCCGTATTTACAGCTTTCAGTCTGTGGATGAAAACGGATGGCAATGCCAGGAGCAGCAAACACGAAGGCAGGTGCAGAAACAGGGATAGGATAACCCCTGCGGAGACCCGAGGTGAGCCTGAGCCCGACACTCAACTGCTTCCGTCCCGATCTTGGTTGGCTACGTGGGAATACTTGCTAAAGACCGACAAAACATCATACTGCATCCCAACACACCACAGCTGTGACAGACCCCACACTGAAGGGTAGTGTGTCAGGGGATCTGAATGCGTGAAAGCTCAAGTAGGATGATGCTGCCAGACATTCCAGATTGTTTCCAAAAGCCAGCCGCCACTAAAACCATGAAAGCGCTTTATACACCCAGGCCTGCTGCAAGTTGAGCCTAATGTAAGAATGTGGACTTATCCACTACCAATACTATAATTTATTGACTAATTATCACCCATTGTCTCTAATTACAAATATATAGGCCTTCAATGGCAGCAGGTCGCCTTGCAGTCCCCTCGCCCTCCCCGCGACGGAGCTGTGTTCTGAATGTATTATGCTGGAATTCCTTGTGGTTTGCTGGTGAGGGTGAGGACGTGTATACAGTATATCACAGAAGAGGTGCAGAAGCTCATCTCTCTGTTGTGGGAAGAAGCAGGATTTTCTCTCAGCTGTGTACTGATTTTGGGGGGCCCACACTGTATCCACCCCCCACCTCTGTGAGAAGAGGCAGGTCTGCACCCTGACAGCCTGTGGATATTATTTCTGGATAGAAACTAGCCCCTAAGCTTGCTGTCCAGTGAATGAAGTCTGATTAGCTTGAATGCTGCCATACAGTACAGTGACTCTGTGGTGCCTAATCATCACAGTCTCAACCACTTTTTTTTCCCCTGTTTTGCCCTTCCTCTGCTGAATCCGACACCTCCTGAGATTTTATTCCCCGTCGCGGAGAAAGCGGTTTAGCAGCTTCAGTCGGTTTCTAGAAAGCCATAATTCTCGCCTGGTCTCCCCGCAGATCTGCCTCGCCCAGATGTCGAGCGCATTCACGGCGACCGAGGCTGTCAGAGCAGCGCTCCCTGTCAGCCCGGCTCAGCCGCTCCAGCCTTCAGCTACCGAGTGAGGGAGGCCTCAACGAGATGCTCCTAATCCGTTTTTCTGCTGCAGAAAGCAAGAACAAATCTAAGACTCGGTGAAGTATTCGGCAGGCAGTGCGGCTTACGAAAGAGCATTTCAGAGACCAACATGCTGATATTTAATTTTAAGAAAAGGCTTTGGAAAAATCTACACTGCCTGCGAGGCGTGGAATTATTTTACCCCCGACAGTCCTAGAGGAGTGATATGCTTATCCCCTTCCAAGCCGGGGCAGGGGTCTAGTGAATTAGTGAATTAAGCAGCGCAGAACCACAACACGCTCTTTTCTGTTGTGTTGTATCTTGCTGCCTCGCCCATCTCTCCTATGTTGAATTTAATTTCAAACCTTTCAGGCAGATCTCAAGTTTACGAAGTGCCTTGAAGCACCTTAGAACAAACGAGTGAAAACGAGAAGTGTCCTTTTACGGAGGACTGCCGGAGTGACCGCTGACTCGCCAATCAACAGAGCCGGCCTTTTCACTTCATATCCTACTGTAGATTCGCAAAACACGGCGTGTGACTTCGGATGTCCGGGCATCGCAATCTAACTGTAGAGACGCTTAAGAGCAGGAAAGCGAAATCTGTGGATTTCTATCATAAAAAAGGTTACTTAGCAACTGGCTTTTCACTGCGTTATCAGATATGGAATAGGGATGAGGAGGGGAGAGGAGTTCATTCCGCCTGATGTTGAACATACAAATTATTTTTAAACGATTATTTTGAGAGGGTATAAATGTCATCGTGTTCGTGTCTGTTTTTCTACAAGCAAAACAGGAATAGGCTTTTTATTACTAAACGCATGACTCCACATGATACCTGAGGGCAGGTCAAAAATCAAGCTGCGTGGAGCCGTCTTCCTGGCTCTGTGTCGGTAACCGCCTGTGGCTCGGTCCGACAGACGGTCTGCAGGGTGACACGCCGACCATTTCCTCTCCCCTAGCACGATCTCTCCGGGTCCCTCCTGTCATTCTCTCTTATTTTTTTTTTAAGACTGTGATTTTTTATTCAATGTTTCACAACAAATAGAAACACAACCTTTCCCGTCATTACACAAAATCCCCTCGCGCTGGCCACAACCCTACTTGATGGCTAAATAAATGTCTGGACTACTGCTTCTCTTCAGATTTCCTTTTAAAATGCTCTGGAAAAGCAGCAGATCGTCAAACAACTGGGGAAATATCTGACACACCTGTCTGATGAGCTTTATTAAAGCCAACCGCTATAATTCGGAGTTTCCAAACATGTCTCTCGTGATATCACATGCTTTGTATCTAGGTACATTCCTGATCGAAAAGACAGATTTCTGATTAGAAGAAATAGTATTAGAACAAAACAAGAAAAATCATGCATATCTGAACCTGAAATCAGGATGTGAAGCACCGATTTCAAGAAATAAAATGTATTTATTTTCCATCCTTGGTTACTTTCTGAATGAAGTGAGAAGGAGTAGAAAATGAATTAAAAGTAAAAAAACACAGGATGGGAGATGAAACGGAGAGGGATGAGTGCACCCTTCTTTTCGGTGCTTCTGGCTTCAGGGGACTGCGCTGCTCTGCAGGAGCACGGGCAGCAGGCAATGAGCACCAGCCCAGTGTGTGATGCACAAGCCACCACTTCCTCTCCATCAGCAGAAACAGCAGCTCAAGCCCTGCAGTGAT